ATACTACATTATACTCTATTATTTTATATTTTAATCAAATATTAAAACATACTTTTATGTTTAAACGATACTATTAAAACATAATGTTTTAAAAATAGAGATAAGGTTAAGGTTGAAATAACAATGAAGCATTTAGAGTATTAACTGTATTTTGCACTTGTCTTACAAAATCTTACTGTGTATCTTTTCATTGACAAAGAACAAATCCAACAAGTCTGCTGATTTTATAATAAAACACCAGAAAAAATATTTTTAAATGCATAAAAGCATGTCAGCAAAGATGATGAACCAGAATCCTTAAAATAAAACGGCTGCACAAGTCATCACAAAAACTAATTTTAGATTTAGATTCCACACACTTTGCATTTTGCCAGTCTCTTAYCATGGCRTTGATTAAAGTCTCGCTGAAGCTCTGTTTGTCACGWAGGGTACRCGYCATTAATATTGGATGGCGCTGGCCCCWCCCATTCTCAGGTGAGGGGGAGCCACAAGTCCCCCATCTCTGTTATGCCCCTCTAAATCAGTGTTAYACAAAAATACATCATGAAAATATGTGTCCATTTCAAAATGTAAAATCACAAAATCGTAAAAATCCGAAATTTGACAGTTTTGTTTTATTAAGAGAAATAATCAGAAAACACATAGAGAAATGGAAGGTTTCTTATTGATCAACTGAGAACACATTAATGGAAACCTCCACCCCTTCCCAGATTTGTGACAGACCTCCACAACAGTCCTGRGTCTCCAGTAGATCATAGTTGTTCCACAACAGATCTCTGGTAGATCTACAATAGACCTCCAGTAGAACTTTGGATGATTCCTGGTAGATCAATGACATGTCTTAAGAAGATTTTTGATTGATCCCCAATGGATCTCTGGTGAATCTATGGATGACATCCAGTAGATCTGTGAATGTTCTCCAACAGATCTCTAATATATCAACAAATGACCTCCTGTAGATCTTTGGTTGATCTCCAGTAGATCTATGACAGATCTCCAGTAGGTCTTTGGCTGATCTCTAGTAGATCCATGACAGGTCTCTAGTAGATCTATGACAGATCTCCAGTAGATCTTTGGTTGATCTCTAGTATACTTATGACAGATCTCCAGTAGATGTGTTGTTGATCTCTAGTAGATCTATGACAAATCTCTAGTATATCTATGACAGAGATCTCCAGTGGGTCTTTGGTTGATCTCTAGTAGATATATAACAGATCTCCTGTAGATATTTGGTTGATCTTCAATGGATCTCTGGTGAATCTATGGATGACATCCAGTACATCTGTAGCTGCTCTCTAGATCTACACTGGACTTGATGTGGAGTATTGATTGTACTGTCAGTAAAACTGTGGTGGATCTCTAGAAGACTTCTTATTGATCCCTTACAGATTTTTTTGATAGAACCTAAAGGTCTCTGGTAGATGTGTAACAGAACTTTAAGAGATCTGTATGGGATCCTTCATGTGTCTACTTAAGATCCACTGTTGTAGTAGATCCATGATGTGTCTCAAGTTGTTCTTTAAAGTAATTCTAGTTTATATGAGAGTTTTCATTAGATTAATGGTAAACACCAAAAAGATTATAAAAGAAACTCCAGTAGATATTTATACTGTATATCTCTATAGGCTTCTGTTGATTCCACCTTTGGTCTGTGGTGGATCTAAAGTGTATTTTTAAGATTAACTAGAATAGATTTATTCCATATTAACAAACATTCAGATGATTTTACCAACAAATTTGTGGTTGACCAATAAGGTTTATTTAAGGAAGGGTCTCTGTGCGTACATCAGACAGGTTCAGGTCGTAGTAGATGTTGAGGTTCTCGATTGATCTCAGGTTGGTGACCCGGTATGGAAATTCAAGCAGGTGGTTATTGTTGACAGCCACCTTAAACTCTTTGTTGGTGCACAGGATCTTTATCTGCAAGAGCAAAAGCACAAAAGGTTATTTACATGCTCATTCCTCAGAACACAGTGCAATCAGACTCTGACTCCTGAGCATTGTTGGGTTTGTGTAAACAGAACATGAACAGTTTTGGGTGCGTGTCTAACCTCAAAAGGCTGGCCCGGGACAAAGGGGAAGTTCTTCAGCTCTCTCTCCTCTTTCCCCCACTGGCCGTTGATGCAGCTGTTCCTGACAATCACCTTCTTTCCAGATTCATTGAATCGAGGGTTGAAGTGAAAAGCCACATTGTTGGATGTAGCAAAGTCCAAGGTGATCCTGAACAACAAAGACAATCAGTCTTCAGGTAATTATTTCTCTTCTTTACTGACTTGTTGTCTATGTTTTTTAATTTAATCTCATCTGTTATCTTTATTTTCATGGTATGTCCTGTAAAACTGTTGGTACTGACTTTTCAGCGTTGGGTTTGATGGTCCCAGAGATGGTGATGAGCAGTTTGTCGTGTACTCCCTGCGGTAGCTTCATGTAGTAAGGAACAGCCTGTCAGAAGAGAAACAAGAAAATGGCTCTTTAACAAACAAGTCTTCTGTTTCAGCATCTTTATCGTTTGTGTATCTGCTTTTCTCACCAGACTCTTTTGGGGGGCTGTTGGCATGGCTGGTCCAGGTCCGAATCCTCCAGGTGCAGTGGGTTGACTGGGGTTTCCTCCAGGCCACATGCCCCCACCTCCAGAAGGCCCACCAGGCCAGGTGGGATTGGGTGCTGGTTGACCTCCAGGCCAGGTGGGGTTGGTTCCTGGTTGACCWCCAGGCCAGGTGGGGTTGGTTCCTGGTTGACCTCCAGGCCAGGTGGGGTTGGTTCCTGGTTGACCTGGGTTGTAATTCCATAAGAAAGATCAGTTCTAGGTTTTAGTCAGAACAGCCATCTAATTTCACTATTTGAGCAGCTGATGAGCTGTCTGACTGTTGATGGGTAAATCAGGGTCTGGGTTGGGTTGTAAAGTGCTCTGAGTAGCCTGGTTGGATATGGGTGCCATATATGGTTTATGGTGTGCGAGGATGGATGAAGAACGCATATGAGTGGGAGTCTCAAAAGCGGGCCTATTGCCCTCCACAAAAAGACTCTGGTCTTTATTCAAACCTTCACATCCCTAAGATGAAGGTCACCAGGTTAGAAACACTCAGTATTCTGAGCTTCTCAGGATCCATAAATGGGTCCCCAAGAATTATTTTCTTGTGCTCAGAGGCAGACAGTGGCCTAAGTAGTGCAAAGAGGTTTGTAGTTCAATGCCACAGGCATCACACAGACCATTGTCATAGAGTCCCATCACCATTTTGTGCAAGTTGAGCAGGTTGTGCCCAGTTAGGACTCCAACCAGTGTTTAGAGTTTTACTTGTCAGGGAGATGAGATCTTTCCAAACCTTAGATTTGGGCCGTTTATCAGTTCCTGTACCTGTCTACAGTCCGTCAGCTCCCTCAGATTGAGTGTTGACGTCTAATCCAGGCCTGTAGAGCAGTCCTACAGACTGTTGTTGAGATACCTACAACAGGCTCCGGTCCTTTGAAGTGGGTCTGAGGTAGTCAGGTCTTTGATTACCCTTAATGCAAGCATGTCCTGGTACCCATTGAACAGTTACTGTTATCTTTAGGGTGCCATATAAGTACAGTCCATTCAGCATTTAATCCAGATCAATATTGGAAACCCAACAACACCATCCAGGTCCTCCTAGGGAATCCAGAGGTCCTCCCACTGAGACATGACTGGAAAACCTCCAGAGGAAGGATCCTAATCAAATGTCTAAACCACCTCAGCTAAACCTGTCAGTTTGGAGGAGCAGCAGTTTTTCTCCATGCTCCTCTGACATGATGGAGCTCTGACCCCCTACAGGAGAAGCTTGACTTTGAGCAGGAAAGAGGATGTGGACACAACTCTTGATCCTTCCTACAGACACCAGAAGGGGAGCACAGCACATAGACCCAGCTGAGTCACTCAGAACATCTGCAAGGGTGAAGATCCACTGGTCCAAGACCAGAACAAAAGCCACACTGATCCTCCTGGATCATCTGGAACTTTGTTTTCATCACTCTGAAGTAAACTTTGGCATGCTTGTTTGTCTTTGTGTCTATGGTGTATAATGATGTGATTGTGATGCTGTAATTCTGAGTGTTTTATGTGCTGCAGAACAGGAACCTGCTGTAAAACAGCAATTATGCTGAGTCAGGCTTGATTTTTAATAATCTTTTCCTGTTAAATAAATAAATCAAATCAAGTGAGGAGTGTGATTCCTCAATAGATGGAACATCTCTGGGACCCCCGCCTTTTACCACTTCACATGTATTATCCCAGTTCTCCATAAAGAGAAACATCCACTATGATGGCTCCATGATGTCCTGAACCTTCAGCATCTTGGGTCAAATCCTGTTGAATCCTGGTTTAAGGAAGCTTTGACTACCTCAGAGACCCAGGACCTGGTAATGGACACGCCTTCCCTCGAGGTCTCAGACTCTTACAGACTATACTTTTCAAAGATGTCCGACGGTAAACGTCCATGTTGGTGTGTTGTGTTTGGTATTTCCAGAGTAATTAATAAATACATTTGATACAAAGGAGAAACATCTACCTGGCCAGGTAGGGTTGTTGCCACCACCAGCGGGCCAATCACCAAGAGCGTCTGAGAGCTAGAGCGACACAGAGGACAGAAGAGAACATTTTGGACATCAGGAAATGTTTTTGTCCTCATGTGTCCAAATGCTTCAAATTCATCAAATTTTGTTTGTTTGTTTGTTTAGGATCATAAACAACAACAGATTCAAAAAGAGGCCGATGAATTCACATATTTAATCTAGTTTCTGCTCCTAAAAACATTTTTAATCTGCTTCTCCTCAGAACTTCAGGGTCTTTAACAAACATCATAAAATGTTTGATAGAAAAAGAAACATATTTATACAAAAGGCCTCACTGCAGACTTCATTTTTATTTTATTTTTAATCACTTATTGAGAAAACTCTGAATTTAATGTTAACTAAAGTTAAAAAGAAAAGACTTACATCCATGTTGCTCCTCTGAGGCCTGAGAACAAAACAAGATTTAAACTTTATTATTTGGATTTTAACAAAGATATTTCAGGAATCTAAAACCAGCTCCTGATAATTATTCAAACACAAAACTTTTATTTTTATTTGACTTTAAGAATGAACTTTGAACTCAAACTAAAGTTTTTAATTTTAATCAAATATTTTGTTTAAATCAAACTTTTTGTTTGGTTCAGAAGAAAACTTAACAAGATGTCAGAGATCAGGAACAAATCTGAGGTTCTGACCCAGTTCAGACCTGGTTCTGGCCCAGCTCAGACCTGGTTCTGACCCGGTTCTTGCAGCAGAAAGTGAAACATGAGAGCATTAGACGTACCTGCTGCTCCGTGGAGAACTCCTCACAGAAAGACTCGATGTGAAACCTGACCCAGTTTTAAGAACCGGACCACACCCAGCTAACGAGCCAGGACCGGTTTCTGTTCCTGGATCACAGCTAAACCCTAAACCTGTGGCTTCTCTTCACCTTTCATCAACTCAAACCTTCAGGTTCTGTCTTGATTCGGACGGGTTTTGGTTCTGTGCCAGACCCTGCAGAACCTGATCCACTTCCTGTTTGTGAAACTGTAGAAACCCTCAGTGTTGTTCATGCCTGGTTCTGTTTGGACTCTGGGTTCTGGTGGAGGGATGTGTTTGTTGTCACATGTTCCTGATTCAGACCAGCCCTGGAACCTTTAGGTGTGTCACATTCTTCTTGTTTTCACCTCGTGATCATCTGAAGCAGCAGGATTATTCTGCTCCAATCCCAGATTAGACAGGTTTTTATTTTCTGTCACCTGGTTACAGAACCTAAAACAGAACCTGAGACAGAACCTTCATAAATTTCCTGTCATGGCAGAGTTTTTATTTTTAATTCTTCTCAATAAGTTCCTGGATTTCCTCTCCTTCCTGCACAAACTCTTCTCACGATGCCAACAAGTTTCCA